GCCTCGCTTGTCAATTAAATGTCAACTGGCATAAATGTTGCATGCCGCTTGCTCAACTGCCACATTAAAATTCCGCAGAGAAAAAGGGCAAAAATAAAATAAAGAGCGAAAGAGAAATCTCTCTCTGAAGAGCCCTTTTTGCCGGGGTACGATGCTCTTAGTTCAGTGGCTGTCAAACTGCAGGACTCACCACGACCTGAAAGTATGCAATAATTTGTTTAACAAGCTCGCGGAACTCTCTTTCTCTTTTGTCCATCGTCTTTATATTTTTCTGGTCTTTGTGTGGGTCCTTCTATGGGGGTGTGTGTGTGTGTGTGAGCGTGTGATGGTGTGACATTGTTTTGAGGCAGACAATTTAAAGAGGAGTTTCTGAATTGAAACCAACCGGCTACCGACTACCGAGGTTCACGGCCCCGTTATGCAAATGCTGACAGTCCCCCTTAACCGCATTGCCACCTCCCCCGCTCCCCTGCCCCCTGAAAAACATTCCCCTGACTGAGTTAGCAATTTTAAGTGGCCATCCGTTGGTGTCTGTTGCTGTTTTCACTACAAAACTCATATGTCTCGCTTCCCCTTTTCCTGCTTTTCCATTTTCTTCGCCCACCTCTGCATGCATTTTGTCTCGCCCGGCGGAAATTTGTTTGCACCGAAGTGATTTCTGGGTTTGGGGAGGGGCCGCCGTTGGAAAAGGAAATGGATCCGTGTTTCACAGCCATCAGCAATCTGCAATACCCCCGGGCAGCAGGGACACAACGGCTAACAAGGCCTAATGAAATTTCCATATGTGAGCCAATTTGCAAATTTTCGTTCAAAAATTAATTGACATTCGAAAATACACTCTCACAGATGGACAACTTCAGAAACTATTTGACTTATGCTTCGTCAGTGGGGGAGTTAAACGAGACTAATCAATTGCCAATTCGATTTAATTAAACTCGAGAGTTAAATGTTTTTTTGTGATTGTGGAGAAAGCTTAGAATAATAAAAGATAAATGATATGATAACGTTTCATATAGTTCTATTTATTTATTGAATTTACCAAAAAGAAATAGTTTTACGAGTCCTTAAAATTGTATTTAAGAACTTAAAAATCTATTTTGAAGTCTTTCCAACGGAAAATGACAATTATAATTGGAAATTTTGTTTATAATAATAGTTTTTTATTAGAGATGGGACCAATATTTTCAAGATCCTTATAAATAATTGCTATATAACTGCAATACTTTCAAGACCCCCTATATCTTTTCGAAGGACTCACCTTTCTCCTGCAGTTGCTGTCGCTTTATGTCGCCTTTGAGCACTTCCGCCGTGTGAACCAGTTCGTTGAGCTGCGGCTTTTTCATTTTCAATTCACGCAGAACTTTCTGTGAACAGAACACGGGGGAGATATATGAGTAAAGTGGATATGGGTGTGTGGACCGGGATGGGTGTGTTTCATACGGCGCACCTCCTGCTTCTCGATGGCCAGTCGCACTGCATCGCCATCGTCGACGAGGACGCTCTGTATCTTGATCATGTTTTGTTCCCAAGTCAGCCAGTCGGAAATTTGCAGGACCGACTTATCGAAGCTGCCGGCCAACGCTCCAGTACCGCTCGGTTCGTTATTGTATTCTGCAAAGGGGAAAAAAATGGGACAAATTGAAATGGGTTTGCAAAATGGAAAAAAAAGTGTAGGAGAAAACTTCTTGCTAATTAGCGTGTCCCTTTAGCCACCCCCCTCACTCACTCACCACACAGGGGATTGTGTGTCGCTCTGCTGATGATGGGCTACTCATTAAATCGCACCAGCTGCGGTTTTGTCTTTTCCTGACTGACCACCAAGAAGCATACTTATCGGGGTCACTGTAGCTGCATATTGAATTCAAGTCTCTTTTTCATTTATCTATTTTTCTTTCTTTCTCTCTGGTGATTTTTTCCCACTCCCCTCTTGACTTTGTTGCACATTTCAGCAAAAGGCAAGTAAATGAAAAACTATTTCAATGAAGCAAAAGTTTCGAGTGTCTTGGTTGATAGACGCACAGTGGAGTCGGAATACAATTTTCTATGAAATGTTTAAACAAATACCTAAATAAATAATTGTGATAAATACATTAGCTAAAAGAATAATATTGATATTCCTATTAATTTTTTTAAATTTTATTATATTTGCTGAAACCTCCTAACAAGATTGTACCACATCATCCTCATCGACATACAGAAACCTCAAAAGAATCTCGAACTGATGGCAAAGCAATGACATCGAATAACAATGAACTAAGCTTATAGAGTGGAGAACATAATAATATTATTCTTACCCCTCGACCCAAGTTCGCTTCCACCGCATTATTTTCTCAGCTCTCCCCTAACTTTCTTCTATTAAATGGCAATTTTCAATTGCAGCCCATTCAGAACAAACCATGGTGCAAATATTTCAGAGCTTGAAAAAGCAAAGGGGAAACACTTGAAATACTTGAGTAAAAAGAGTCGAAAGGAAAATGTAAAGAAAAGCTTAAGTAGGCGCAGAGTAAAGGAAGCGAAAAAGAAAAGAAAAAAAAAAAGGAGCATGTGGAAGGAGGTCCTTCTGACAGTTATGAAAGTTTCTACAGGCCTGAGTTTGCCAATAATCCGTGAAAACAAAACCAAAACAAACTAAACCGAAAGAGAAGGGACACATTGCCTTTTTTTCTTCTTTTCTGCTGTTTTGGTTTGTAGTTTTCGCAGTGTCCCTCGCAGGATTAGGCCGGTCTGCAAGGACAGGGGATTTGGGCGACAAATGCCAAGTCCAAGGAGGACAGCTAAAACTCTGCTGGCCACCAACGGGATTCAGGATTGAGGATCCAGGACATGGGACACGGAACGCAGGCCGTGTCAAGTTGAGGCGTCTGAAAGCATTTACAGTGAGTGAACGACTGAGTGAATGAGAGTTCCCAGCTCACAAGAAGCTGTTAAGCAAATATATGCACATGGAGAAAATATTGCAAAAAAATACATTTCAACAAAATAAATAATTCATAATGCCTTATGAATTTTTTTCTTCGAATTGCTATTTTTAATAGATCAAAAATAATTTGTCCTATATTTATTTTTGATTAAGCAGAAGATTAAAAATTCTCTGCACTCTGTAATTGCTGGTAAATCTTTATAATAATAATAATTTAATTACGACAGGCCAAAAAAAATATTTTTTTTGATTTGGGAAAAGAAACAAAAAAAAATGATTTAGGAAAAGTTTAAAAGAGTTGTTTTTTAAATGAACATCTATTTTTGGTAAGATTTTAGTTAAGGCCCAAAATATGTTTTTCTGTGCATAAATTTTCCCTTGGAATGGAATAAAAAAGGAAACCAGAAAGGAATAATAACATCGCTGACAACCACACACATGATGGTCGGAAAACACGGTGAAGTAGCAGTGTTCCACACACGTTAAGTGTAAAATTTCTTTTCACTCATTCTGATGAATGTTCCAGGTAGGCTCCACACACACCCCTTTTGGCTTTGTGTTGTGGCATTCACGGGACAGGTGCAAAGTGGTAGAAAATATCATATAAAAAATGTATAAAAAAAAATAAATAAAACACACAGAAAAGGAAAAGCGCTGATAACATTCCCTCCATTTTTCTTCCTCTTACACGCCCACTTCTATCGTTAAAAGTAAACGGGCTCTACCAGGAAAATGTCATAATTCATTAAAAGCCAAAGAAAGCGTGAAATTCTGGACTCCTGCGTCCCCACACCGCCTTTCAGTTGTCACTCAACTGAGAACCGTCTTCCTTTTCCCTGTTTTGGAGAAAGGACTTTAAGACAAACACAATGACATCTTGGCAGAAAGGAAAGTCGTTTTAAAGTTTTCATTTCATGTGATGGATGACCTTGATGGCTTTTAATTTCATGAAAATGAATTTGGTTTTGTATATTTCGGGGGAAACCTTTGTTTTTCATTAATATTTACCTTAAACGTAAACCATTTTTGGGTTATTAAATGTTTATAAATTACAGGTTTTAAATTTTACAGACAGTCCATTAATTTATTTTCAGTTTGTATTTAAACGGTTATATTTAGCACTAAGGTTTTAAGGTATCAAAAAACGATTTGGCTTTCGAATTTCATATTTTACTATTGATGTTTTATTTTAATTCAATCCTTTCTGTAAAATACTAGCACTGTATTATTTTTCTATAAATCTTTTCAAATTATCACTTCCACCTTAGACTTAGAGACTTGTTTACTTCCTTGCCGCTGAACGATTTATTTTAAAATGTTTCCTTGTTTGGGCCCAACAGCTGATTAAAACGGACAATTCGAAAAGCTTGCGAAAGTTCAGGACAAATGCAGGAGAAAAGCATAAGCAAAGCTTCGGGATCTAAATAACTAATCCCAAATCAAAGGTATCTAAATAAAACATTTTATTTCTACATTCAATTCTAAACGTATAAAGTAACTATTTAAATTTATATATTTTAGATATTTTTTAATTATTTTTTTAATTGTTGTATGCAGTTTAGGCAGTATACTAAAATAAAATGTAATTGCTGGTAAGTTTTAAACCAGCGGTCGGCACACACCTACAATGACATTTTGTTTTATATTTGTGTGAGTAATTTGCACGGGGCAGCTCATTGATGTGTGTGTACAGACTGCTGTTTTACAGTGTACGTGAGGGGCAGCGTGTGAGCAGAGCAATTCCCTATGCTCACTTAATAGGACGCTGCCGACCGCTGTTTTAAACCTTTATACACGATATTTACATGTTTATAGCGACATCTATTGGAGTTTCGAGACTCTAGTCATAGTTCTATAACAGCCAGTTTTTGTGAGGCCTTATACGCATTGCTCTAAAACTGTACAGTTTTGTTTATTTAGCGACCTTATCATTTTTTAAAGAGATTCTCACGCTACTGCCAAAAAGTTTATTACTGTATTATTTAATTTAAACAACTTAAATAGATTAAGTACATTTTAAATAAAACATCTACTTTACTTATGGTTATTTGTCATTTTTTTCCCACTGGAAAACAACTAATACAGGAAAAATAAAAACAAGGACACTTGAACACAATACCAATAAAATAAAAAAAACTGTCTTTTTTTAAATAAAAATAAACAATAAACCATGAAGAAGTCACAGGAAGAGCTTAACAGAGCTCCCCAGGTAACGGGCATAGCACCGACGAAGAATTCGATGATGACGGGAAAGAATAAAAGAAAATTGCAATGCTCTCCATTTTCGAGGCTGAACAGACTGAAGTTCGTGTCTGCGGAACAGCTACCCATCGCTACCAGGGACTACGGATTAATGCGATCCACCAATAAGTCATCGACTCCATTTCCGCGAGCCGATCAAGGAGTCGATGCCACTTTGCTGAAGGCTCGGCTCAACATGCGTCGTGATTTCGAGAGTAGGCGAACTGATGTCCATAAATCCCCGAAAAAGACAGAGAAAGACAGCGCTAGTATCAGTGATGCGGAATCCCACGACATTGATCATTCCAGCTTTCGAAATAACTCAAGGGTATGTTGTTTATTAGTTTTGAAAATTCTCCCAGGGCTTATCAACAAATATTAAGCTTTAAACTATTTAAATATGTAATTAATTAGATAAATAGGAATTAATTGAATTAATTATGTAATTTAACAAAATTGCAATCATTCCTCAATTAATTGATAATAGATTTATTATTTAGAAGCTCTATAAAATTTATGGTTTACGTTTTTTTTTTTTGTAAATTCTCCATTGAATTTCGTATTCTAAAATATAATTCTCGAAATATTTTTATTTACCATGTGAGTACATATATATATTCTTTTTTTCAGCCCTCGGTCAGCGTTTTTCGTCGTTCTTCAACTGGGAAGGATAACTACAAGGAGTTACTATCCCTCGGCACTCCACATCCCAAAAAGGGCGTGGCCCTGAATGCTAGGGCACTGACCAGGCGACTAACAGACATAAATGATCTTCTCAAGATGCAAATGGGTCCTAGCGAACATTCAATGATAAATACGCCTCAAAGGTCGATGAAGCCGAAGAAAAAAAAGGTCCTCATGTCGATAACCACCGACAGTATTGATGCGATAATTCCTGACAAAGACGAGCCAAATGGGGAGCTGGTCAGTAGGGAAATGAGTCGGCGTTTGACCCAAATTGACTACGATGCCTCGCAAAGCTCGCTAAGCGCCGAGTTCCTGGAGCCAGAGCTCAGTTTTGCTGAGCGAAGGCGGCTATTTCAAGAAGGCGAGTTCACAATTGCGAAATATGGCCGAAAAATGAGCGATGTGATGATGGCGGCCCCGCCTGTAAACGAATCGGTAGAAGACAATAGTATGCAGTTCGCACAGAAAGCCAAGGAGGAGCTGGAGACATATATGAGATCGCAAGGCCTGATCAAGATCTCCCACGATCAGGTCACCATGACCCGGAATATGAACCGTGGATCAGCGCGAGTAAGCCCATCGGATTCGGGGGTACTTCCACGGGAGAACGACTCCAATCGGAATACCAAGCAACGCAAATCTGTTACCACTCGAACCGAAAATGATTTAATGTATCTTGGCTAGCAGGATTGCCGAAGGATGTTAAATTGCTAAATTCATTCACCTCCAGCAATTCGGCTAGTTAGAGGAACAAGACTTCGTTATGGTATCGGAATTAATTCAAAGTATTTTCGAGATTGTATTGTGTAAAATTTTGGTCAACTTCTTTCACTCAATACATATTTAAAACATATAGTCAATACTTTAGGTATTATTAATTAATGGGTAAAAGATTCAAGAATAAAAATATAATATCTTTCACCCCACAACTTCAGCTACAAAAAAAATCTACTACAGCTGGCATGCAAAATATTCAAGAACATATGTCTGCATCTGTTATGAAAACAAGAAAACGGGTCTACAACATGGGGGAAAGCCACCCACCTCCCATAGGGTAAGTCAACACCGAAAACATTCACATAAAATGTCAAAAGTGCCATTGACATGGCACATTTGGGATCACGCTGCCCTTTTTCCTATAAAAATATAAACAAAAAACGGAAGTAGAGTAGGCTAGAAAAAAAGGGGAATACATAGATGCTCTGTTTTCAGTAGGGGAGAGTGGGGGAATTTCGTCACAGGGGCAATTTCGTCACCTGCAATATCTCGGAATCCATAAGTCGTAAAAATATATAATTTTTTTGTTTTAGTCCTTCAAGACGGCCAGACACAACCAATGCATTTGTTTTGCACAGAAGGCCAAGATAATTAAGCTATAATATTAAATGTGTTTTAACAGTTCAAAAGCTACATTTAGTTCTCGACGAAATTTTTTCTGTATGCCACAATTCAAAAGGAATAAGATACACGATTTTTTATATAATACACAGTGCTATAATGTGCATTTCTGCGTCAGTGATTTTTAACTTCGCGCCTAATTTCGCAAGAAAAATAATTATTTCTAAAAAAGTACGGTCTGGGGAAATTTCGCCACCCTACGCTAAGGGTAAATTCGCACCTATTTTAAATACATATTTTTATATTTGACGAGCTGGCTAACGAACAGACTACCAGCAGCAGCAACAAATATAGGACGTCAACAAAAATGGTACGCTTGATCAGTGTAGCATATTTTCAGGCGTTAAACTCCCTACATTTTTCAGGTGACGAAATTTCCCCAGTTGTGTGGTGATTTTACCCCCCTGTGTGGTGAGATTGCCCCAGTATATTGGTTTTACATTTTAACTTTTTATAAATCACCAAGCTAATTAAAAAAATAGGGAAATGTCACATTTTAAAGCTTGGTGCTAACCGCATTCAACAATAAAAATAGAAATATGATAACGTGTCTCAAGATGGACAAAAAATAGCGTTGAAAAAATGCTGACGAAATTCCCCCACTCTCCCCTAATTAAAAATATATAGATCAATGATAAACTTTTAACAAGAGAGATTTCAGATTTTTCTTATTAAATTGCGTATGAAAACTATAGCCGCAAAATGTAAATCGATGCACAGTGCAATAAAATTGCACAAAATCCATATCTAAAACAAAAAATTACAATGGAGCAAAAAAAATCGTGTACGTGCTGTTTCAAGAGTTTTTGCCTTTTACATACATATATACATTCGCTTCATGTTTTTTGTTTGGCAAATGTTTAAATAATTTAGCCAGCGAAAATAGAGACACTAGATGAATGCGAAAGATTATTAAATTTCAATAATGGAATTTCTTTGTATAGTATGAAGCACTAGAATTTCAATTAAATTTATAATGATGAATGAAAAAATTGAAATAAAAACATTTGAAATCTCTCTTCTGTCCTTCAATAACAATGAGCATGTGTATTAATCTGATTATGGTAATTAAATGTAGTTCACAAAATCAACAGAATACATTAATGTTCACGGAATTGCAATGTTCAAATGCTATTCACCATGACTGCCCTTCAAATGAATTACACTAATTTATTTCATTAAATATAACATATCCCTATCTAATTAAAATTCTAGCATTCCCTTAGTTTTGTGCAATAAATGTGTAATTGCCGGTTAAGTAAATGATTGTAAATTTCCAAGCGCTGACAGCATTTAGTAAAATGCCTTCTGCTAAAATAAATACACTCGAATTGCCCTCATCCTTTAAGTCAAGACACTCGACCAAGTCAACTTTGACAGCTTGTCTACATTTGAGCAGCCAACTCGAGCGTAAACCAAACAATTGAAGTCAATCCAACTTGCCGGCTATCAACAAGAACATTACCCGGCATTGGCCTAGCTTAGGATGCGATCTTTCTAAGCTCCCGAAATAAAAACTATTAGAAACAATTGAGTGGGCAAGCTTACCCGAACGACAGCTGATGGTGGATGCTCCGCTGGATGCATCTGGTCGCTCCTTGCCATTCGAAATTCGGGGGCCATTTCTCAGTTCCGTCAACGAGAGCTCAATGGAATCCGCATGAGCTATCAAATTGTTTTTCGTCTGCAAAAAAAAGGGCAAGCAATCCGGAATGTAAGAGTTCAATTGAGAGGCGAAGTGTGAGCGCAAACCTTTTCAATTTCGTTCATCATGAGGGGCGTGACCTTCGGCATCTGAGCGTTCTTGCCAATGGCGCTGACAATCACCTGTAAATCGTCGTGCCGCTCCTGCAAAAAAAAAGATGAAAAGAAAATTTTAAACAAAAATACAGTTGTCTCTAGTATGCGCACAAAGAACTAATATCTTTCAAAAATATATACTTTAAAATTTTATTATAGTTTTTTTAATATAGGGGTATTTAATTTAATTTTATATTTTAAAATGTTACGAGGGATTTATTTATGATTTTTCACCGTTTTCAATTTCGTCACATGTCATTTTGAGATTTCAAAATTCTCTTAGTAAAAGTTTTATGCAACTATTTTGTTTTCTAAAAATAAATATGTAGTTTATCTAAAAGCAATGCATGGCAAATTAAATATAATATTTATTTTATCTTTAAATCGAATGAAATATTTTTTATAAATTTAAATCGAGAAGAGCTTACATTATAGAATTTCGACAGAAAATGGAAACCTCTTTAAGGGTAAAAGAAAACCATACTAAAGTAGATATAAAATGCATTCGATACTCTTGAGGTGCGAAAGGTGAACAATAAATAGCAGGCTTTAAGCGGAAACGGAAGCCGAACGAACACACATACACGGGCGAACAAAATGGCCACCGCTTGGGAAAGGAGCTACGGCCAACGGCGATTGGAATTCAATTTCAACTGCAATCATGCAGGGACTCTCTCTATGGGCAAAGAACAAATGAAGGCGGTTTGGGAGTGGGCGTGGCAGGTGGGTAGAAAAACCCTACCACCTCTTTGACGGCGTTTGTCAACCAACAAAATTGCATTTGTGAATGGTCAATGTAGCGCGTTGAAAACTGTTGCAGTTTCAGCTGAAGGACCGGGTTTTTGCTGCCGAATTTTCACTTCGCGCCAAACTGAATTTTCCGCAAATTTACAATCAATCACCGGGTCAACAAAGAAGTGGGCACACACACGCATCAAAATATAAAAAGATTTTAAAGCTCTGCAACCGCTGTCCCAACGAGACGATACGCGACTGAAGTGGCGCAAACAAAAAATGGAGGAAAATAAAAACAAAAGCCCTCATTTTGCCGGCAAAGAGAAGAATTTACATGTTTGCCCCTCTTCGAAATTAGTTTTCCCCCAAAAATCTGTCTCTCTTTCTGGCTCTGCCCCTCTCAGGAAAAATACAAAATGTTTTCTATTTTTGATTTCATTTTTCGCTTTTTTACAATCGCTGGCGTTTGTCACCCGCTGGTGCCATAAAACCAAACAAAAAACGGAATAAATAAAATATAAAAATAAACAACAAAATGATTGCAGTGATTAATGACTCGGTTGTCTAGGGATGGAACTTGTTGAAAATGTAAGATTTATCATATGTTGTGCGACCAGGAGCACAAAAAGTTTCGCTTTTTACTAGTTTCTCCTTTTTTTTGTAAATGTGTCATTCTAGAAAAGTTGTCTCAACTTTTTTGCATTTAAATCTGCAGATAACTTTAACATTTCTTGAATTGCTAAGCATTTGATTGATTTGCTAAAATGTATTTTTATTTAAATAAAATCTCAAGAGTCCAAATGTATTAAAAGAAAACTGACAGAAAAATAGGATTCCCATTCAAAATGACACTTGCCATTAAAAGTTTACATGTTTTAATTCATCATAAAATTGTTCAAAGATATGTTCATAATTTAATAGAACATGACAACCCTTCATAGAGACAGAACCATCAACAAAATACATCATAATATCATAAGAAAAAGAATCTCTTAAATCTCTCTTACTCCTACGATCTCTTTTGACCCACTGAATACTATGATCTCTGGTGAGTCCCTCACTCTTCGCCTCCCAACTGCAAGCAGATGTGTAACTGTGTCAGTTGTGTTTATTTTTGGGTCTTCTAATGGACCCATTTAGCTTTTGTGGCCACCGCTTTGCTTATATATGCATCGAAATTCTCAAGAGGGCAATTAACTTGCGGCAAAGTAAACGAGCGAGTATCGACGAAAGATGTGACGCCTTCTGAAAAATGTCCAACTGAATGACTAATTGCGGCGATTAAATCAAAATGATTTAATTGTAGTTTCGCACAGGTAATTTTGCTTTTATTTTCTGCCACGGCCAGACGTTGGCAACGTGTTTCTGGCCATTTGCCAGATTTTGGGTAGCACTTACGTTGATATCCTCCATGCGTTTCTCAAGATCACTGCTAGACTTCAGATCGACAGTCTTTTCAATGAGAACATTGATGCGTCGCAGTCCCTTGGTGACCAGTTCCTCTATATTAACGCTGTCCAATGGTGGAGCTGGTGCCCCACTTCCAGAGGTCTTGGATCTGTGGGGAAATAATCTTATTAAGTAAACGGAATCCATGGAAATTCTTTAGATTCTATTCATACCTGGCCTGCTGCACTTCCCGGAACTGTTCTCGCAGTATGATTTGAGTGCGCATCACGAGGCGAGAAATGCTACCCTGCTTGCCATGGGTTTCCAGAACCAAAGAGTCTCCCTGGGATATCAAGGTGGCTGCATCAGGTGCTATGAGTAGCCGCAGATCCTCCCTGAAACATTTTATATGATTACCTAATAGGAATTTTAAATGGCATCTTGTTGCCATATTCTTGAGAAAGCTTTCCATTATAGTGTACAATACACTGACTCAATGGATGGCCGTTTTCTCATCTTTATAATATGACTTTAATAT